CAAAGGCTTCTATTTTGTAAAGGTAATACTGAAGTAGGAAAAAATCTGTCTGAAAACAATTGAACCAAACACAAATCACCACCTCGATCATCCTTCAATGGTAACCACTGTAGTGTCAAGCCGCTTTGACATCTGTGTGTTTACATCATCAGCATATTGTGAAATGTATGAATCCAAGACATTTCATGTTTTTGGAATCTGGGTAATTCACCGGAGAAGAGCAAATCCAGAATGTGCTCTCACCAAAACCATTTGTGATGATTAAAATATGTGACTGAGAAGGTCACATACTGTATGTGGAATACTGTTTCCACATACAGAATGTGGTCCCATAGAAAAGTTAGCGTCAGGGTAACAATAGACTCTGACTAGAACTTTAATAGGAACTTTATTGTATTATGCTTTACTCTATTCTTTACCTGTCTTTTCTGACTGTTACACCGAGCCAAAGCAATTTCCAAGTCTGTGACTTCCTGTTACTTACATGGCAATAAAAATTATACTGATTCTGAAAAACATTGCTAAAATAAAAAAACAAAGAATCTAAGCCTGGCATGGAGATACTTAGGCTGAGTTTACACGGAGACAATGTGGCAGTAAAACAGTATAGTTGGATGTCGGTTGCTACCAACCATTCATACGAAGACTGTGTTCCAGGGGGGTGAAAACGTAAGTGTTCAGATCCAGCCTGCAGAGTGGGACAACTCAGAAACGCTGCACAGCGGGGCTCTCTTTCACACCCGCGAGAGGGGAATAGGTGTGAAATCCCCCTCTGCTCTGACCCCCACCTCCGCGCTGCTCCCCGCACGTAAATTTGGACATGCGCAGTAGCGGGGATCAAACATAAACAACAATGGTGGCGGTCACACTAACTAGCTTCGTGGGCTTCGAGCACAGCACAGAGGATAATTCTACTCCTTCGTTCGTCCAAACGAGACCACGCGAAGCTCTAGGTTCAGTTTCCATTTTCACAGCTGCAGTTAAAATGCAGAATGATGTAGGTACGTTCTGAAGGTCTGACACAGGAGGTGAGTATACTGCCGAGAGGGGGGCGGCATGGGGCTGGGGGTCGTGTGAGTGTTGTAAAGTTTCTCTGCCTACTACTGGCCGGGCGCTAGAACTACATCGTTTTTCAACCTCATGTGAACGCTGAGAAATTTGCATTAGGAGCCAGGTCATTTCTGTTAATGGCCTGGAAACGTCTGCGCAGCGTCTCAGTATAAACAGGGCCTTAGACTACCCTGTCGAGTGTCCACTAGGCTCTCTCAACAACCTGTAAAACAGCTGCATACATTCAAGTTTTGACTAGAACCAAGAAGTACAATAACTTAAGTCCAGTTCTCAGGTCTCTGCTCTGGCTTCCTGTGGCACTTTAAAGCAGCTTTGCTTATGTACAAGTCTCTCCATGGCCTCGCACCAAAGTACATCCATGACATGTTAGTGCCACAGTTCGAGTGCCAGAACTCAAACTCTATTTAGTTCTACATATGATTGACTTTTAATTGAGTGTTTAATATGATTGTTATACATCATATGTTTATAATGTTTGTAAATAAACTTGATAGAGTTGCTGATTGATTGATATATGGCTAAATAATGGGTTCAATTCAATGTATTCTTGTACAGCCTTAAATCACAACAGAAGTCATCTCAGAGGACTTTACAGAAGAGTTGAAATCATTAACACAGATCAGAGAATCAACAGTTAAAACACAACAAATATCAAAAACATATGTATTGGTCCATATCGTGAGACCAATTTCCATGAATGTTGATAAATGTCGATACATGTTGTAGAATGTGTCCTGGATCATCACCACAGTCCTTTTTGTTAGACACTAACTGTCGAACAATTCTAAAACCCAGTGGGAGAAAAGTGAGAAACCTCGGGTTCCCTCTCGAAATGTAGATGGACGGGCTATAGATCCAGGACCTAAGCTCAACGAGGACCTGGACCACGCAGCGGTTGTAGAACGTGGACAGGTCCGGTGTAGAACTGAAGCTACTCCCCTCCCCGGGAGGGGGTGCGGCCCTTAAGGCCAGGGCCGTCCGCAGACAATGGGACAACGAGTGAATACCAATGAACGCATGACAGTCAAAATCCTAATAATGCAGACAGACAAACTGTAGACACCAAAGACCATAGACAATGTGACCAAAGTGTGACCATTGAAAAAAATAAGTGTAGGCCATATTTTGTTGAAATAGCACTCAAACTCCCCACAAGAGCCAGCATCCACTGCATTAACTCATATTTCGACACAAATGGACAGAATCGCAGTCAAAACAGTGTGTGGGAGTTTCCTGAGCTTGTTAGGTCTGTGTTTAAGTGCAGCCCACACGTGTTGTATCAAATATCTCTAACAGCAAACATTCAGAGGTGTCTGTGCTTTGTGCAAGGTTTTAGTTATCTAAAAAAAGCCATACACATTTTTACTTGGTTTTGTGAAAATAATAAAGTGAAGTTAAAATGTGTTAACCATTTAGAATTGAGCTTTTAAAAGGGGGCTGTAATATTGTGTAATCGAGTCATTTCAGTTACAATCCAATTTTTTTTACTAGACACAATGAAAGCTGACATCAATCGGTGGAGAAGGTCTTGTGGTGGGTTCGAAATTCAGGCTCAAAGGCCAATGCTCTTCCAACTAACCCACTGTCCCCCACATTCATACATATTGTACTTATTCTTATGCCAGAGTGACCTATGTCATATTTTACTGTATCATAAATTGGTTTCACATTTTAAGTTGAATTACAGAAATACTTTTGAACAATATTCTAATGTTCCGGGTTTCACCTCTACATTAATTGATTATTAAAATAGTGATTATAACTACTTTAAACACATGGGTGTCTAGTTGTTTCACACATATTTCTCTTGGGCTCCCTGATTTACTCTCGATCCTCGTACACTTCATATATTTTCTCTCGTACAGTCTGTAGTGTCGAGTGGAAAGTAATGAGACAGGAGCTCATTACTTTCCACTCTCAGCACAATGAAAGCAGACGCGCCTTATTCCGGATGCTAACTTTAAACCCAGTTGTGTTTACATTCCCCTTCATCCTCCTCCTCCTCCTCCTCACATGTTCTGTCCTTGAGCGACCGGCTCAAATACTGATCGAAGCGGGAACACCACAGCAGGGAATAATAAATGCACGTTTTGATAAATGACATTGGAATGCAACCGCTTCATAATCGATAGCCATGAAACAAGACAATCCCACAAAAAAACATAATTATGAACCCAACAATAATCCGTCAGAGAAACTGTACATTGTATTGGAAAGGGCGCTCTTTACTGTTACTTCAGTGTCGGAATATGGCATTTAATTGACCATGTTACAAAGGCGGGACAAGACATTATTCCAACAGAATGAAACAAGATTAGAAGTTTAATATGCATTGAGAAATAATGTATCCGTAATATTTCATTGAATATTATATTGCTGCACTGCTTTTTGAAACTGCAGCTTTGCAAAGGTTTTTACTCGGATGTACACTATTTATATACATGTATGTACATGTATGAGTTTATTTGAGCTGCTTACATTACTTTGGCACAAATTCACTTACAAAAAATTACAATTTTGGTACAATTAAAGAGATAGTCTGTAACTCTAAATGAATTACACATTTTAAGAATTCTGTTAAATCGACATCCTGGCCTTAAATGTTGATATGAAATAAGTTTTTTTATTAATTCTAATATTACAGGTAAGTCCCGCCTTCCCTTCTCTTAGCCATAGCTCAGAATCCACAATGCTGTCCACGTTAACCAATCGAGTCATGCCAAGGGCTGTCAATCATCGGCGCTGATGCTCATAGCTGCGCGCATGCGCAGAACAACATGAAAACTGAACAAAGAATTCTGAACATTAGCGCTGAGGTACTTATGTATATACTGAACCTATATCCATAATCAGATCCTCTGCAGATGTGTCCCATAATGTGCAATCAATGAATATATATATATATATATATATATATATATATATATATATGAATAGTTTCTTCTAGGTTTACCGCGATCGCTTTTTCTGTGCATAAAAACATTATTTTTTTCATGAAAACGTTAACAAATAATTCTGAAAACCTCTGTGGATGTGTATTAATAATGTATATGTATAATGTCTTCTCTGATTAACATTTAAATGTGTTGAAACGTAGGCGTAGACCAGTCAGAAAGGAAGGGAGAGGGAGCTTGCGTTGTTTTTTTCAAATCAAGTACCTCTCTCTCTCTCTCTTTTTTTCTGACAAACTGCAGACAATCACTTTAAGGTCAAATAGAGTAGGCTGAAGTGAGTATGCCTACATACACCCACCCCTCCCTCAAGAACTGATATAGTGTGCAAGAATACTAAACCCAAAGACATGTGCTAAGTGAATAAAATACGGCTGTGTTTGTGTTTGCTACAGCTTGTTTCTACCTGAGTTGGTCTGTTATGAAGATTTTGTGCAAAAATTTCCACGGACGATCCCTTCTAAGCAAGTGCTCATCTGTCCGTACAGACTTGGACACATCACTGGTGTGGGAGGAGAGGTTTCCTTAAACAAAGTACAAACGTTAACAAATGTCCTTATTTTTTGTGTTATCCTGGGGTCAAATAGATCTGCAACTGTGATTAAAAGATACCCTAAAAATGTTGGGCTGAATTTTGATGGTTTTTCCTAACTTGATCAGCCCTTGGTCAATTAAACCCTAATTTAGGCCATTTTTGTTCTACTTTTAATTATCTGTGGTGGGTCATTTTGAGCAGAGGGTAGCACAAGGGTTAATACCAGATCATCACTGTCCTGAGACCCTCCTGTACACTGCAGCAGTATTTTGTAAATGTAAAACAAATGGGCCAAAAAGATGAATGTTGAAACATGCTGTGACAATAACAAATACTCTGTCACCGTTTTCACTCGTTGACTTTTCAGCGCTGGTAAATAATCTTTTTGCAAACCGCTCTCAATCGTAACCCACTAATTGCGCTGTCTGCACCTGACCCACCAAATGTTCTTCATGCACGAGGAATTCAATTTGCTGCTTTTGTGCAGCGAGGAGGGGCCCAAGGACACTGCTGTAAACACGAGACAGCCTGAGAGCCGTGTGCCATGTGTCTGTAACTGCCCATTGAACTGAAGGGACAGCAGCTAGGACCCAACCTCATTCTTCCAACTCAATCATGATCACACAGTTTGCAACTGAAATAATCTCAGAGTTTGTAATGATCAATAATGACAAAGACATTTGCTGCAGTAACAGTTGTGCTCATTGTTGTAAATCAGAACCCACCACTTCCTTGTTTGAATGAATAAATTAAACCTTTTTTTGGTCTCTCAGTGGGGAAATGTCTCTTTGGGTTAATGGCTTAATCTTATTCAGAATTACTTTATTTCATAGTAGACTTGTTTTGTTCTGAAAAAGTGGGAAGTGAAAATTATGTCATATAATTATGTTCAACGCAAAAACTGGTGATGATTTCTTTATCAGTGATGTTATGTCTAAATACATACAAGTATAATTGAGGCTTAAATATGTAAATTAAAAATAAAATAAAAGTGTTCTGTCATCTGCTACTGGTTACTCAACATCAATAAATTGTATGCCTGTCAAATAAATCGATAAATCGATGCCTTGCCCTTAATTGCATTTATGTTAATTTGTATTGATAATCGCTCTACATTATCAACAGCCAAATTAGTACAGAGCATTATCTTACATTACCAGTCGATAGGCACATCCCCACTATTAGGGACTGTCCAATAAATGTTACACACACTGAGCATTCCTGAAGCTGCATTTTCTTATAACTCACAAATTAGATTACAATTGGAACTTTTCATTTTTCGTGCACTGTAGTAAGTCTTTGGCAAGTTTACACCCACAGGCAGGAAAGAGAACGTCTGGGTCTAACTGAAAGAACAGTGGTGATGATCCAGGACACTCAACATACAACAACCTTTATGGACATTTATCAACCATTATGGACATAATAAATGAGCATTAATAGTGGATAGTGAAATCCAATGATTTGTTTTGTCTCGGCGGTGTACTGAACAGATTTTCCAAGGTCTGTCTTCGACAAAAAGCTCCTCTATAGCACAAGTAGAAAGATCTGATCATTATAGATAGAATATAATGCTCTTTTTGTTTCCCCATTGGAACTATACACAGTCTGTACTCCATTCAGAGATGGTAGAGCGCAGATCGTAAATTATAATGTGTATTTCACTCTAAAAGGAGAGTTCTTCAAAGTTAATTGACATGACATTACACCTGGATTGGACTGAGCCCTGAGGAGGTGTGTGGGCAGTTTTAGGAGCCTCAGTGGGAAAGGATGGTGTTATTATGGGCGATAATAACATTCCCTGTCTCATGTGATTACAATGTATGACACTTCACAGCTTAGCAGCCGTATCCGTCCAACGCTATTGTCGTTTATAGGTAACAGTTCATTTGGAGACTTACCCTTTGGACAATTCATAAAATTGATTCAAATGTATTGCTGTATTATGTGATTTAGAAATTGCCCTAGTATTTCAGCCTATTATCTTACCACCTTTTTTTCTTTATATTGTTAAAACCATTCGAAAAAGCTGACAGATCTCAAGGTTTATATGAATAGATAGATGAATACATAGATACTTTTCAGCAGTAGACAGAAAAAACGGACAAAAGACAAATGTATAAAATCATTGATACAATTCAAATAATTTGTTATATGTTTTAATAAATTTTGGCTTCCTAAGATGTTATCTCCAGAAGGATATCAGATCAAAGCACAATGCTGAAATGTTGCCTCTGCACGTTTAGTCCTGACTCTGGGCACCAGCAGGAGGCCAGTCTGTGACACTAACATGTCACAGATGTACTTTGGTGGAGGCCATGAAGAGACTTGAACACAAGCAGAGCCCACAGGAAACCGGAGCATACTGGTCATGGGCGAGATGTTTGGAAATGCATTAGATTGAAAAGTTCATGTTATACGTACCCTTCTGGGTTTGGAATGTATGCACTTGAATGCTCTACAATCACAACTCTTGGTTATTACTCACCATTTTGATTACAATTGGACCTACATATATACCAGTTGAATAACGACATTTGGTCACTCAGCCTTCAGATGTTCGTGTGTGAGAACTGATATAAATATGTGAGTCTCCACAGTGTTACTGTATGTAGTCTGCTACCTTGCGAGCCCTAGGCAGCCATTGAAATTATAAACACAGGTTCACAGTGTCATCCAGGCAACTTCAGCTCCGCCAATACAGACGTAATCTACAGTGTTGTAAAGCTCCGAAACATTTGAATCAATTTTTCTAAATGTGGTACAATTGTCATTCAGCCAACTTCAGCTCTGTTAGTTGTGGATCATTATGGACATGTTATACTTCATTTTAAAGTGTCCTCAAGTGGTTTCCAGCCACCTCGCTCCTGTATGGCTCCGTGGTTGCTATGACACCATTTCATTCAAAGTCCTCACCTGCAGAGATTGTCAGGTCTAACTCAAACTGGTTTCTTCTGATACCACACTCCAGCTACTCTAGCATTAAGAGTTTAGCTAAATGAACAAAGAGTATTCCTAGTATTGTTCTAGGATGTTACTACTTTTGTTTACTTACTGTAAATATAAAAGCTGGAATATTTCATTTTTTATTTCAATACAATAAAATGTAGTTTATTATTCAACAAGAAGTGCAATAGTACAAGTACAGGATAATTTTTACAACACAGATAAATATATCTTCCTGACTGTACAAAGCTAGTATGTATACGTTAATTACATTACATTAAAGTGCGTCTAACGTCCTTTAACAGAGAGTTTAGGAATGTGAACACAAAAGAGTGTCGCTCTAAAACTCATTCAACCCTTTAATGACCACTCCTTGGAGAAAGCAAAAATGTTGTTTGTTCTCTTTTCGATTTTCTATGTAGGTGCACTATTTTCTTAACCTTTATATAACCAGAATAAACATTTTAAAAACACTGTTTATTATTTTATTTTTTTCAAACCCCTACATTTTTTATAGGCCTTCACCAAATGGATGAAATGTGTTGATGGTAAAAATGCCTAAAACCAGATTCAAGTTCAGATTCAGAAAACTTTATTTATCCCAAAGGGCAATTTGTTTGCAATTTCAATCTCAAAGCAGAACACACAGACTCTACACAAACACACGATGATTCAGGCCTCACAGCAGCAGGTTACATTATAAGTTCAAAACAATACACAATGCTCCCACTGATGTCTGCTGTTGTTGTGTCCCTGGGCAAGACACTTAACCCCACATTGCCTGAAGCCCCCGCTGAAAGACCAAGGCCATCTCGTCAATGACAGAGAAGCCATCTCCCCATGGACCCACCACTTGCAGGAGGATCAGCGAGGGACTGGTGCTATGAGACTTGGGTGGCAGCTCTGATTGCCCCCCCCCCCCGACCCAGAAATGGAATAATGAAGGGGTAAAATATGAGATGACATGACAATACAAGACAACATTTCCCACAAGTCAAACTCCTCTATCAGAGTTCAACAGTTTTCAGAGTTGGAAAATCTATTTGTTTTACGAGGTGGAACATTAAAACGACGCCCTGAAGGCATCATGAGAGGATATTTAGGCTGAGCCAGAATACACTTTGCTTTATTCAGCACCTGTTTCTCCCACAAAGAGTCAAGGTCTCTGAGTTTTCCAAGAGATCGCGATGCCTCAATGAGGTACATTTCAGTTCCAAGCTTCAAGTAGTTATATTTATTAAAAAAGTGATCCACTAAATGTCTGAAGAAACTATTAAAGGGTTAAGTACATCCCCAGATTGTCTCTTTAGCTCGTGTTCCTCTCCCTTTCGTCCCACCTGAGCAGCGCACGCCGACACGCCTCCTCCTCAGTCTCACTTTTATGCAAAGTTCCTTCCTCTTGCTGTGGCTCTTCGGGCGCTGGGAGCTGGCGCTACACGGCCTCAGTTCTGTGAAGCGAGACCGCACAAGCCTCTGACTGACACCGGGCCTCACAGGTTCACGGGGCGCTCACCTCTGCTCCGCACGCACACTCCTGCTGCCGTGTTCCAAAGACTCCCTCAGCTGTCACCGCGGATCATGTTTCCTGCCACTCTTCCTCCCATTCAGTTTAATTAGAGCTTGTTAAGGCTCGGATTTTCTCTGTAAATTATACGACACAAGATGAGAAACTCGATATCTCCAGAGGCATGGCAGCGATGGTGACGGCGTGTCCTTTTGGGACTGTTTCAAATGAGGTTTATTCAAGTCATGGCAGAAGGAGGAAGATGTTGGCAAAGATAGCACTAAGACTCCCAGGATTATGAAACTATACAAGAACTCCCAGAGGTGTCATTTTGACTGCTCCCTTTCAAACCAATGGATTATGAAAAAGAAAACTAAACAATTTGGGGGAATTTAAGATTTATTATGGAAAATGTACGTTTTTTTGGGAGTTTTTTACATTTTACTTTAAATACGTGCTAAAATTGGTGAAATACTAAATACAGGCTAACAAATGCTAATTGCTAAATACTGTGTTGCTAGCGTATCTAGCACTTGATCTTCTCTGGTTCTGAGCCAGCTTGAAATGAAAAAGTCATCCCCTTTTAATGGTCAAATATAATACTTAATAATTTCACCTGGATTTGAGCATTAATTTGAATAGAATAGGAGCCTGTCTCACATCAGGAAGACAGTTTCAGTAGTTTTGTTGCAAAAATCTAAAAACGCTGCCTCCACATGTTTAGGACTAAGGAGATCTCCCAAAGATACCAGTCCCTATGCTCGTCAGACTCCCAGCAGGAGGCCAGTCCCTGTGCTATTCAAAGTCCGAGTGAAGGCACTAATATGTCACAGATGTTCTTCGGTGCCTCCATGGAGAGTCGTGCAGAAGTCTAGATTAGAAGTCCATTGATCAAAGATAACAGCCCATGTTGGACTCAACAACTAAAACAATCGATGTGCTGCAGCCTGGTCACATCTTCTCATTAGATGTTCATGAATTGAAACAGTTAAATCTATTTCCAACCGTGTCAATTTCACCTTCCATATAGCAGCATGTGAACTACATAAAGCCCGACTGATTTACATAATAATAAATCCACCAATCACAGTTCCTCTCCTTTCTCCCTCTTGTCTCAGCATCCCACATGTCTAGAACTGAAAGGTTACTCATTTCCTCACAATGCAACGCAAAACCTCTGTAATAGAACTTGTCATTGAACATAATCGGCCTGGACTCGCAAATTAAATTTCAACTTGATGGAAAATGTAAGAATGAACTTGTGCAACCCGTTCCCCTTATTTGGACTGTTTTGACAAGTTGGCCTTCCAGCGCTGCTTTTCATATTTTGCTGATCATTCGCTGGAGGTGTTTCACATTACCGACTGATACAATTGCATGGCTATTTCAAAATGAGCTAAATCGGATATTTTAATTTCACGGTGACTCTGCAGCCCTTGTTCTACTGTGTTTCAATATTGTCACCTGGTATCAAGGCGCTCAAAGGATAAAAACACAGGTACTATATTGGGGTTCACTTGTCCCTTGGGAAATGTCTTTGTTATGTCCTTCTCCTTCACCGTCGCTTAAGGAGAGGGACCGCAGGTCTTTCCTTCCTGCTGCTGTCACACTGTACAATGAGAACTGCTGAGTCTGTACAAGTCATTCATCTGCAAATAATAAATACTGTAATTATCAATCATTAATCAATACTGCATTTCAGAATGTCCACTAAATGTCACTTTATCAATTTATTATCCTGCTCTATACAAATTTAACTTTCTACTCTATATATAGATAGATTGATATATTGATAAATTAATATTGAAGCATTCACAGCTAGCAAAGAAACATAGCAGCTCTTACTAATGCCCTATATGTGCGCTGCAACAACGAATATAGGATCTCTTATTTCATCTTAAGTAGTAGTAAGTAAGTAATGTTTTTTATATATATATATAAAAATACATATTTACAAAATACAATTTACAAACCAAGGTCATCCAAAGCGCTTTACAATGTGCAGAGTTCAGATATTGTTCCAATCATTCCACACACGGTGATGACAGAAGCGAGTCACCGAACACACTGGACCATCAGCCTCCAATCAACACCATCCATTCACTCTCTCATTTACATTCATACCTATTGTGCATGTTTTTAGTGGTAGGGGAAACCGGAGCACCCGGAGGAAACCTACCCAAAAAACCCTTAAAAACAGGAGCATTCATGAAAAAATATTTTGAACACACCTGTTGAATCGTGTTAGATGAGGGGTCACCAACCTTTTTGAAACCAAGAGCTACTTCTTGGGTACTGATTAATGCGAAGGGCTACCAGTTTGTTACACACTTAAATAAATTGCCAGATATGGCCAATTTGCTCAATTTACCTTTAATTCTATGTTTTTACTAATAATTAATGATATTTATTTTGTGGAAAAACTTTTATATTTTCTCTAAGTGCACATTTTTCAAATTTAACAAATGATCACTTCTAAGACAGTCCCATTTAATCGCAATTAATCACATTTTAATCACATATAAATATTTGACCTGAGAACAGTGAGAAGTAATTTTTTTCACATGGATTTTTAGTTTACCATTGAATAATGACTGAATACATGAGGCTTAAGCAACACATGTTAATATGGAGTTTAAGGGATAACTTCTAAACATCAAATAACGTTTCTGTCATTGCCTCCACACTCTGACGACAACATATGCTCCTCCTCCTCCTCCTCACACTGACGACAACATACTCTTTTTAAGCCCAAAATCCACTGCACACGCTGTGAGCACTAAAGCTGGGCATGCGCTGTTTGCTAAAGCTTTTATAATACGTTTTTGATGTGTGCATTCGGAGTAAACATCAGCATTAGCAGCTCACACACCTGTGTCTCGCTCCTCCTTCTCCTCCTCCTCCTCCTCCTCCTCCGCTCACACAGGAGTCACTGCTCCTCCTCCTCACACACAGAGTCCATCGCTCCATACACAGCGCTCATTCCCGTCTAATTTACTCGAATTTAAAGTTGGTCTCTGCTTGTAATAATGTACTTTTGAACAAGAAAAGTCACGGAGCTCCGGTTGGTGCGTCAGTTCAATTGGTCCGTCTGAAACTTATTCAGTGAGGAACGTTCCGCGGTGCAAAAATACATAAGATTAAAATGCGTAATTTTTTTAACGCGCTTTTTTGTGTGTAATCAATTAATCTTTATTAACTTGTTAAAGTCCCGGCTCTAGTTTATATGCCATTTGTAAGTTGCATGTAAGTATGATTTAAACAAGAATAGCACTGGTAAGTGCTGCCATTTGAGCTATTTTTAGAACAGGCCAGCGGGCGACTCATCTGGTCCTTGCGGGCGACCTGGTGCCCGCGGGCACCGCGTTGGTGACCCCTTTGTTAGATATACTATTGGCCATTGAGTGTCATCTCAATGTAAAAAAGTATTCAAAAACTCTCAAGTGTGTCTTTGAATAAGGTCAATCTAAAGCTGGTGAATCCCAGAGTATACTCTTCCATTTAGTCTTGTTTTTGTGTTTGTTTTTATTATTGGGAAAGTGTGTGTCGATGAACAGAGATATTAAAAGATGTCAGGATGTTGCCAAAGGCTCGTTTCCATCCGTTGGTCCCATGGTACTGAGGTCACAAAGCTATGTACAAAAGAACAATAGAACACAAATAATGAAACACATAATTATCTGTTTTGCCCAGGTGTGCTCTGAAGCAGCAGTGTCCACATTGGAATAAAGTGATAAAGAAAAAAAACATGTTTGCTAAATTATAATAACATAACATCATTTTAAAAAATATATACTATCACATTTTTTGTGTGAATTGTTTGGTTGCAAAAAGGTATGCAAAAAATATATATACTGTATATATGAACAGAATGTACACATCCTTGTCATTGATGATGGAAGGCACGGGCACGTTTTGGTCACTTCACAAAGTAGACATTTATTTATTTACTATAATTGTGGGTTTATGTTTTAATTTGAATTTTGAGTGGTTTATAGAAACCTTTTTAATTAGTTTTGGGCCAATTTGTTGCTGTCCGAAATAGTACCAAAACAGTGCCACTGCTTAAAAACATGGGTTATTGCCAGCAGAGAGATCGCTCCACGGATCACATCCACTTTATTTATTTAGAACATTTCACAAAGACGCTGTTTCAAAAGTGCAAAATAAAACTCAACCAAATCTTACCGGTATTAAAATAATAAAACCAATTAAACAGAGCGAAGGCGGTAAAAAAAACAATAACGTAGCAATAAAAATGCAATAAAAGATATAATCAATAGTAATAAATCCAATAAAAATGAATCAAAAGAAGAAATAAAAATCGCGACTCAAGTCTTGCAGTGTTAAAAAACAGAATAGAATTGACTCTTAAGAAATTACTCGTTTGATGGAAAAATACTTTGGCAATGTTCAAATTCATCCTCAAAAATGCTAGAAGTGAATGTAAAATACAAAATACAAAATACAAATGAAATACAATGAAATATACATTTTAGGACAATTATGAGAATTTGAAAGCCATTTCATGTGATTCCTTCAAAAGAATTGAAAACGCAGATACAATTATTATATATCTATCTATGTGAATACTTAGCGTTTAAAGGTTTTCAACCGGAAGTTTGCTGAAATATTCAATAAACTGAAACCGGCCTAAAGTTGTGTCAGTGTGTAAGGTTCACAGTATTTGAAAAAAAAATAAAAAAATCCTTTGTGGAGTGTTTAAATGTATACTTGCTTGTTTAAAGCATGTGTTTACATGGTTATTAATTCCCTCCATATACAGTGGTGATAAACTACTACTGTAGCCACAGCTGCCCTGGGGAACACTATGTGCCATCAGCTGCTCTGACTACCAACATTATTTGCACACCAGACTCATTCTTGGCAATTTGGGAACAAAGTGTGTTGCCTAAGAACACAACAAAGTTTGGCACTTAACAGCCGCAGCCACCCCCACTCCTGGCACCTGGTGTCCCCAAAGGTCTCCCATCACAGCACTGCCCTGCTTAGCTCCAGAGGTCTGATGGGATCTGGCTTTCACATGGACAGGAGGGCTGTTATCAAGCTCTTTAGATTGTCTTGTTTGAGAACAGTGATATTTGATTCAAAA